TTAGGGTTCAGGGTTTAGGCTTCAGAGTTCAGGGTTTAGGGTTTAGGGTTCAGGGTTTAGGGTTTAGGGTTGTTGATTTGTTTTGGATGCGGGGGGAATTAGGGTTTAGGGTTTTGGTTGTTGCTGAATGCTTCATCTTTTGGTTCGCGTTCTGACACAGCGCCGCGAAGAGACATCAGCACCAGAAGTGCAGCATGTCCCTGCCGTGCGGATACTGTTCGTGAGTCAGCTTGTTATGGTTATTGGGTTCTTAAGAGATTATCTTTTGGAAGGGGTTCGAAACTCTAAGTACCGTGATGGATATTAAAGGCTTGTGAGCGTACTGTGAACAGTCTTTCTCAGGTTCGTTGTTCTATCCGACTCCCTAAACCGTAAGCCCTAAAGCCGGCAGCCTTAACAGGCGAAGCCCGAAGTCTTGAAACGGTTTACGGTTCACGGTTCAGAGTTCAGGGTTTAGGGTCTAGGGCCTAGGGTTTAGGGTTTAGGGTTTAGGGTTCAGGGTTTAGAGTTTAGGGTTTAGGGGTTGAGCTCTGAAGCCACAAAGCATAAACCCCCAGCCGTAAGCCTTGGGCAAGTTCTAGACGTTATTCAAGCTACGACGGCTGCAAGCCCCAAACTCCGAACCTCTCTACTTTAGGGTTTAGGGCTTAGGGACGCAAAGGCTCAAAGAACGAATGCTACGAGGAACCGCCTAACCGCACGAGGCAACCTGAACCTTTACGGCTGCAACAGCGAGATGTGCGATGGCAAGGACGACTACATCTCCGTCGCCGGCCTGAGATCGGCTTTTGTGGGATAATACGTGCTTGAGGGTTTAGGGTTGGGGGGAATATGTCAGGGATGTAAAAGGGTCATATCGAAGCTAGGGGGCACATACTCGGCAAGGGTCTCGCCTCATGGTTGTTTTGAGAGTTGAAAATACTTGTTTAGGTTTACGGCCCTACTATTCCAGTCCAAGGTGTCGGGTTTAGACTTCGGGGCTTTAGGCTTTAGGGTTTAGACTTCAGGGCTATAGGGTTCAGGGTCTAGACTTCACGGCTTTAGGGTTTCTGGATTAAGGAATTGACTTCAGGGCCTTTGGGGTTTAGGGATTGGGGTTTAGACTTCAGGGCTTTAGGATTTTTGGCTTAGGGCTTTGGGTTTAGACTTCAGGGCTTTGGGGTTTGGGGATTGGGGTTTAGACTTCAGCGCTGTAGTGCTTAGGCCTTAGGGTTTAGACTTCCGGGCTTTGGGGTTTAGGGACCCTGAGGTTTCAGGGTTCAAGCCGAGTGCCGGGATGCGGTTTTCCTCGCGGGCTCGCCCCCTTAATTGCAGCAATCGTAGTAATGTAGGAGTAGGAGTAGGAGTAGGAGTAGGAGTAGGAGTAGGAGTAGGAGTAGGAGTAGGAGTAGGAGTAGGAGTAGGAGTAGGAGTAGGAGTAGGAGCAGAAGAAGGAGTAGGAGTAGAAGAAGGAGTAGGAGGAGTATGATGGGAGTAGGAGTAGGAGCGAGTAATTGGCAGTAGCAGTAGGAGTAGGAGTACGAG